CAAAAAAAAAAAAAAAAAAAAAAGAAAAGAACAAAGAGAATTAATACTCAGGATGGTGACTTTGAGCTACTATCCAGGCCCAAGCACACAGCAGCTGACAAACACTGATGACAAATGTTGCGCAGGGTCAAGGCTCTTCCCGAGATTTTCTCACCGCACAAGTGGGCGGAGCTAAAGCTTCAACTCAGAGACATCTCAGAGCTTGCATGAAGCGCCCCCAAATACCCTAGGCTAGTTACTCACTTAACCTGCTTAAGCCTAACCTTCTTCATCGGGACAGCCTGTCTCGTTTTTATGAGAATTAAAAGACACACAAGGGTCTTAGTATGTAAATGGTACTCATGAAGATAATGGTGATGAAGTACCTTTCAGAAGCAGCAAACTTGCAACCCTAACGCTGAGCAGCTCTGCATACCCAGCTGCCTTGATTTCACCACAGCTGGGCAACGTAATTCAGTAAATCCGAAAGGGCAAATGAATGGAGAATTCCTCACCAATGGCCTCCGCCCACTTCCCTGGCTTCACAAGAGGCAGCACCTCCTTCTCTCACCCACGGGCTGGGCCTGTGATCATGGCCAGCCCCTTCTGATGTGTGCCCCCCCCCCTCCAGAAGGGCCTGGACACAAGCATGGAGAGGCTCTATTGCTTACTCTACTCTTGCCTGCGGATCCCAGGCCACCACCCACCTCCCTGCTCCCACGGCCAGATGGTGGGCAGGGCTGGGTGTCCTCCACTATGGCAAGGCATGAAGGGACTGTTGTCTGGGAGGCCATGCGGCCCCTGGGCTCCTCACCTCGGCTCACAGACATACCTTCTTCAGGGCTTTCTCTCCTGCGGCTTTGTGTTCCAGGCCCATGTACAACCTTCCCAGTTTCAACCACATGGAAGCCACGTTGAGGGAGTACAGAGGATAATGCTTACTGGAGGAAGAGAAGAGACAACAGGCAGCGTGTCAGAGGCTGAGACCCGCCCCCCACAGGCTGGGCGCAGAAAGCCCACACCTGCCAAGCTCAAGGCCAACCTACCCCGGGTAGCAGGCCTCTCCAACCCTGCCAAAGCTCTGGGTGGAGAATGCGGGAGGCACAACACTGCCCAATCATCTAACCATCGTAGACACTGTCCATTTTAGGCAGTTTGGGCATTTCTGAAAAGTCACATAAAAACTGCAGGAGTAGTCCTACACCAAAATGTTTGTAAATGCAACATTTGATCCCAGTCCAGATAGACTCTTCTATCTCAGATGTATCCAAAACAATGCTCTGGGAAAACACCTTTCAAAGTAAATGTGGCCGGATGTGGTGGTTCATGCCTGTGATCCCAGTGCTTTGGGGGGCTGAGGCAGGAGAATCGCTTGAGGCCAGGCGTTTGAGACCAGCTTGAACATAATGAGACCCTGTCTCTACCAAAACAAAAACAAAAACAACAAAAAATTAGCTGGGCACAGTGGCTCATGACTGTAGTACCAGCTACTTGGGAGGCTGAGGTGGGAGAATCATTTGAACCCAGAGTTGGAGGCTGCAGTGAGCTATGATTGCACCACTGCACTCCAGCCTGGGTGACAGAGTGAGACCCTGCCCCCCCCCAAAATTAAAAATAGATGTTCTATTTATGAGGGTTACAATTAGGCCCATTGCCTCACATTAGAAAGACTGTGCACCAGGCCGGGCGTGGTGGCTCATGCCTATAATCCTAGCACTTTGGGAGGCTGAGGTGAGAGGACTGCCTGAGCCCATGAGTTTGAGACCAGCCTGGGCAACTTGGCAAGACCTCATCTCTACAATAAATCAAGAAAAATTAGGTGAGTGTGACGGTGCATGCCTGTAGTTCCAGCTACTTGGAAGGCTGAGGTGAAAGGATTGCCTGAGCCCAGCAGGTTGAGGCTGCGGTGGCCATGAGCGTACCACTGCACTCCAGCCTGGGCAACAGAGTGAGACTCCAACTCAGAAAGAAAGAAAGAAAGACCATGCACTTACATATACACATATAACCTAATGTGTCTCAAGACCCGTTTCTGTCACACCTTATGATATGGTTTAGCAAAACTAGAAGCTTCTTCCAGATATTCTTTCTCTGTTGTCCAGTAGGGGGCTTTATACACAGTAGGTATTCTCTCTTTGGTTGTTACTCAAGGCTGAGGAGGCCTGCCTGGGAAGAAGTCATTTCCCCAAGAACAGGGCCCAGGGGCAGTTGGTGGGTGAGCAGGTGTGTGAGTGTTCATGGGTGAGAAGAGGTTCATTTATGGACTAGGTTGCTCCACCCTGCCTATCCTGAAAGTCACTCCAAAAGAGACACATTCTAGATGTATTCCTGGGCAGGAGGTAGCATGATGCCTGGAAGTGACCCCAAAGAAAGCCAGAGCTGGGCCCCAGAGAGGGCCAGTTAAGGATGGGGCCAGCACATCAAGGCCCTGTTGGGAGAACAACCACAGACTGGGAATGCTGTCTGTCTGAGAGGGAAGTGTGCACGAGACCAGAGGACTTCCTCACCCACTCCAGGAGGAATAGAAGACAGATTATCCCCAACATAACAAATTCTGTTTCCAAGAGCAGCTTTCAAGAGCCAGCTTCCCCGTGGGCTCCACCTGCTGGCTAACCAGGGCACAGTGGGGCAGGTGGAGGGTGACTGGGCAGTGCAGACTAGACACAAACTTTGTAGTCCCCCACCTCAGAAGTTGAAGGGGACACTGAGGGCTCCTCAGACTCATGAGAAACACCTTCTGGAACACAGAGATGTCCAGGTTTAATGCCCAGAGACTGAACCACTTGGTACACTTGGTCTTGGGCAGATGCTGTAAATGTATAATGTCAATGCCTTTAAGGAGTGCTCCAGTGATCTGATCCAGGCCATCTCAGCCCTTAGGGTTAAGTCAGAGCCAGACAACAACCCTACAACCGCCTTCTGTTGCCCACCTTTACGTTTGATAACCCTCCAGGACAGAACACTTCCCTATGGCAGTATTATTACAAATTAAGAACCAGCTTGTATTTTCTCAAACCTGTGGCATGGGTTGTGGAGATCATTAGATAACCATAGTCAACTCATTGGTCCCATCTGCAAGCTGGCTGCACTTTGAAAAAGCAAAAGAGGATGGTGCAAGTAATATGAAAAGCAGAGTTTCTGGCCCTCCATTTCTCTATCATCCAGGAATGACAGTGGTGTTGAGGTTGACAAGGGCAATAACTACCATGGCTTCCAGGGTTTTGACAAAACTCAGATGTGTGGCCTTTTGGCCAAGTATCTGCAGATTCATATTGTTGGAGCATTCACTGTATCCCTGGGGGTTGCCGTGTCCGAACCAAGAATGAAGGCCAATGCAGCTTTCTCCAGAAATTATGATCCCATGAAAGATTTTCAGGAAAGGAGGAAGGCTGGTATCTTTCCACGTACGAAGTGATTTTGGGATATAAAGAATTTTTGGGGGGGGGGTTGAATTATGCACAATTAAGTTGTTACTGACCTGTGTTCCTGAACTATGAAACATGCTGTGTGAGCTTGGAAGTAGTTCCTGTTGATAGGCAATTAACAAATACTTCTGACAGTAAGTCTTTGCATAGTTATTCTTATTGATAATTCAAGGCACTAAATAGCATCAGAACGAGTTTGGAATTTTTAAGTGTGTTCATGAACCTGATAAAGGTAACTTTGTTTCTGTATTTAACATTTCTTTCTTTTATTTTCTGTACTTTTAATTTTTTTATTTTAAAGATGTGCGATATGATTCAGGGTTAGGTACGCAAGAATTCATTATATAGGTACTCTTGTTGATAAGGTGTGCCCCTCCCGTATTTAACATTTCAATGCTTTAGTACATCTTTAATTCTTCTGATATTGTCCATTTCATTGTGATATTCTTAGGTGCCGTTACTTGGTCCTGGGCCATGAATTTAAGGCATCTTCATGAGCCCATATGAGACTACTGTACTGCAGGTTCTAAGAAAAAACAGAGACAGTCCTAATAAAATCTGTCCTTGGTCTTTGTCACTACTGGGTAGCCCTGCCACCACCAGACAGATGAAATAGATAACTGAAATGTAGGGTTCCTTACTCAGTATTGCTTACAGATTAGATACATATCTAATCCAGAAAAAGGCATTTTAGTTACTTAACTAGAATTGGGTAATGTCTGCTAATGACTAGCAGGGTATGGTAACTTTTGAAGGGACATCTTAGGACTGCTTTAATTTTGTTTTTGTTGTGATTAAAGTGATGCTACAGAGAGCTTTAAAAATTATTTTATTATCCAAAGCTAGTTTAATCACGAATTGTTACTTTATTAAGATAACACAACCTGTATTTCACCCTTTTGTTTTTAACCCATGTGTAAAACTCCCAGTGACGCGAACTGTATTAAACCCAGGCATGGGGTGAGGAGGGGAGGCAGAGTTTCTGAGACCATCGCTTAACTTGGAAGGGTGAGTGGGAAAAGAAACAGAGTGGTGGCTTTTTAATACAAACCTGAATTAACTACTATGGACTTGGGCCCTGGATGGGACCTGGGAGGAATCTTGCCCCAGGACCCCCTGCACAACCACTCCATCTCCTGGGGATGGTAGAGAGGAGGCCTGACTCAGGAGCAGTACCTTGTGCCTGCGGCTTCAGTTGTGGGTGCAGAGGTGAGGCAGCTGTTCCAGGCATATTCCAGCACAGGATAGGAAGACACTGCAGCTACTGTATGCATTCTGAACTACTAAATTCCATTTTGTGCTAGAGTGACCAGAAACAGTCATTGCAATCACCTGTAAGGCTTAATGATTTTCTGTCCGTATCGCAGGGCTCCTTCCCAATCCTGCATGTACAAGCAGACACCCATGGCCTGGTACATCATGTGCAACATGTACACGTTACTGTCCTCGAACACGGAGCTCATCTTCTCCTGGCTGAGTTCACAGATCTCTAGCAGTTCACTAGGGGGTGATGTGGAGTCAAGGAAATGACCGTGGGGCCCAGGCTGCCAGGAGACTTCCCCAGGCCAGGTTGAGGGAATTATTTCATCCCCTCTACTCACACCCTCCCCCACCAGAAAAGAAAATTACAGAAAGCCAAGCAAAAGTCAAAGAAATATTTTTTCTCTAAAGAAACAAATGAGGAAACAAAGGAGGAAAAACCTGAAGACCTCAACTGCTCAACAAAATGAAAGGATTTCAGGCACAGGGTGAAGACCTTCCGTTCTGGTTCTGATGTAAACAATGTCGATTAGAATCATGATTCTAATGAAATTCAAATCCATATCCCGCCTGGAACCCTGAGCACTACAAGGGCAGAGCTCCTTGTTAGCCTGAGAAACAACGTGCCTTTCTCTAATTTCCTCTCACGGGTTTTAAATTCTATGCTTTAGGGTACAGAGTGAATCCTTTTCAACTCCCAAGAAAATGCTACAAGGCAGTGGTTAAAGACATGGATTCTGATAGCAGAGCTGGGACAAAATCCTAGATCTGCCATGATCAGCTGTGTCCTTTGGGCAGATTCCTTGACATCCTGAGCCTGTTTCCTCATCTGCTACAAGGGAATGGCAACAGTCCCTGTTCAGTGTCCCCTAAGGAGAGCTGAAATAAGCAAGGCTCTTGGCACTGTGCCCCACCCAACACACGAGGCCTTCAAGTCTTTCACAGTCCTCCACCATAGGGGAGCTCCCAGCCAAACTAGTCAGATAAAGAGAAATAAGAACAGCACTATACAACTTTGATGGGGCTGACCTCACACCACGGGTGGTCAGTACGCCTTCACACATTTACCAGGAGACATTCTTCCTTCCATATTCAGAATCTTAAACCCATCCTTTTCTTGTCCTCTTCCCAACTTCCCACCACTCTTGTCGACAAGGAGTAATAATCTGTCTGGACTGCAGCAAAGGATATATTTATAGTGCTTGGCCCTCCGGAACTCCTCGATGACGTTGCGTGCATATCTGACCATGTCACGGATGGCTTCTGCCTTTGGGGGATTGTTGAGCTTCCGGATTTCCACCTTGGCCTTATCCTGAGGGAAATGTCCACAAGTAAATCATACTGATGAGGAAACCTCTCTCACACAATATACATTCCCGTACAGAGGGAAAGGGGTGCCCATGCGAAGGTTACAAAAGAATAAAAGGAAATCAGGCAATGGATCTAAAAGAAATTCAATACCCCATTACCTTTTTACAGAAACAAAAACAAATATATTAATTTTCTAGACAATTCTTATCTAGAATGTGTATGCTATAAGCAGGTATGTTCACACATCTACAAATCCAGAGGGTAGCACTAACGAAACAACACTCTGGGCAATGCCAGAGAAACTTCCACATATTCTGGTGAACAAGTATATGGCAGACAGGAATAATGCAAGCATACCCCCTTGAGACTGGCCCTGTGGTCTAAAAAGAATATTCAGAGTTCCAAGCTAAGGAATTCAGAGGGGCCAGCTTGGCGGTATACCTCCAATCAATGAAGAACACCTGGCCTGTTCCTTGGGCTGTGCAAGGAACTGAGACCTTTTGTTTTGGGCTAGGTGGAGGTTGCTAAGTGAAGATTTCTATTTAAAGTGCATGCCTGGAGAGAGAGGGGAGGGCAAACATAAATAAATAAATGAAAATAAACTGCATGCCTTTTGCAACCTTCCAGCTAGACCCTGCTGTATGTAAGACCCCAATAAACCTATGCCCTGTCCACTGTCTCCGTGTCTTTTCTTCTTCAGCCTCTCAGACCCTGTGCCGTCCCCACTCAATTTGGCAGAGGTACAGCCCAGCAACAGGTTAGAAGGCCTGGAATTATTCTCAGATAATTTCCCCGCTCCCTTCTCTTTTGAGCAGTTGTTTCTTTTCAAGAAACAGCCACTTGGCAGATCCTTCTCTTCTTTGTACGGTGTAATGGAAATGTTTTCATCGGCTATGATGAGCAGGTTTGAACAGAGACCTGGTCTAACTGGATTCCCTCTTGCTGTCTTTGAAGAGTCTGTCTTTAAGGGGTCAAACATACCACAGGAGGAGAGGCCAAATCAGACAGAGGGGTTCATTCAGCAGAGAACTCCTGAGGTGAGAGTGCAGCCTGCCAGGGAGCAGCCTTACCTTGTCTTTGGTGGTGCACTCCTGGCACTCGCAGGTAAAGAAGTAAGAATCTCTTAACCGGTCGTTCCTATCTTCTGTTGGGTACAGGAGATCAATATAGCTGGTAAAAACCTAGGGGTCCAAAAAAGTAAGGCTTCAGGCCACTACAGGGAAACCCAAGCCTCATCACTCCCATGGCTTTGCAGTCCCTGTGGTGGTGTCCTTGCAGGGCCGAGGATGAAGAGGGCCACGGCTGAGGAACATGTTGTTTAATGCACCGAATTTCCAAACTGAGCAGCTGCCTCATGTTGTCCACCTCTTTGTGTTGGGGAAGAGAGAGTCTATAAAATCAAGGAGTCTCTAAAACAGTCACTAAGAGGGTTAAAAGGATCTCTGCCCCCTTCCTCCCCAAAGGAAGCAAGCTGTGGATGTGTCCCAGCAGGAGATGCCCTGGTCTCAGGTACAGAGGCAAAGTCTCCCTGGGCAAGGCTCAGGTCATCTTTTAGGGTCAGGCCTGTGCTGTCTCTGCCTGGCCTTCTGCAGCCTCTTTTATTTCACAACCTGGGTTCAGATGCTTTTGCTGCCATTACGGCTGGGTGCATGCAGGGGAGGCATGAACACACACATGCCATGAAGCTCTCCTCCTCCTCACATCACTGGCCACAGAGCAAGAGGCTCAGTTCAGCAGGCTGGGACCAACAGCTCTGGGTGGGCCAGAAGTCTGCGGAGGAAACAGCTTCCAGGACATCCATACGCTGCTGCCTGACTCAGCAGCCAGCTCCTGATCCTGCAGGGCAGGGAGCTAGGAAAGTCTCTGCCTTGGGCTCAGGGGGTTTTCCTGCCCTTGCCTTTTCCTGATGGGGTCTGTAACTAAGACTTGGAGCATATGGAGGAGACCAGCATTTAGAGGTCCATTATCTACTCACTGGGACAGCACTGGCTGCTCATCCCACACAATCAGGCAAATGTCTGACTGAACAGATGGATTTCATAAAACCGCCAGCATGCCAGTGACCGCAGGCACCGCCAGGCAGGCGGGGGAGGGACACGCACAAGGCTGGGTGCGGCAGGGGCAGCCAAGCTCTCCCCGCCCAAAGGGCAGGACTGGGCATGTCCTGGTTCATCCCCACACCCTGAAGGATGAGTTCCTTCCTCTCTGAAGGACAAGTGACCCCTAGAGCACTGACTGCCATGCTTCAGTCTCTGCACTGGGACTGCAGAGAACAAGGGGGCAAAGGGAAACAGCAGCCGGCCCCGCCCTTTGTCACTCGGCAAGAACCTGCCTGATTTTCCTTGAAATGACTGATGGACACACAGTGCAACAAATAGAAAGTTCCAGAAGATGGCGACAAAGGCCACTCCAGTATCACTGCTCACAGCCCAGAAGTCAGTCTAGGTGACAAATGGCTCATCTCTGCAGTTAGTCCACAGGCTGCTGGGGCCTGGTGATTACATTCTGGCTGCAATTGTCTCTTTCGACAAAGAGGCATTGGGGTAGTCTTCACAAGATGTTCAGAAACCTAAACACCCCAGCCCAAAATGGATACACCCTTGTCATGACAGAGTTGGCACAGGAGAGAGAGCCAACCTGCACACTGGGCTTCAGTTTCCAGTTCAGCTGTGGACCAGTGAACAACTTTCAGAGAAATCAAAGCACTGCTCATTCAGCACACTGATAATTAGGTTTAAAATTTAAAATATCCAGAAATGCATCTTAAAGTAGCATCTCAAATTAATAAACTGAAATTTAACCTAAAATGTATGATTACAGTCCCTAAAAATGCATGTGTCTTGCTAAGGATTTCCTTAGGAACACAGAGCTTACTACATCAACCCAGTAGGCCAGCCTCTTCCAGGTGAGATGTCTTATAAGGTCATCATGGAATCACACATGGGAGAGGAAAAGGGAATCACTGAGCAGGTGACGGCACACCTGGTCCCCTCCACATCCCTAGGTTAAGGAGGGATGCTGTTATGCATCTTGGCCATAGGTTGCTTCTACTTCTCCTATTAGCACGTACAACTGGCCATCTGAATTACATTCCCAAAACGTGAGCTATGACTCGAAGTTCAGGCGTGGACTTGATGTGACATGAAACGCTGATGTGTCACTTTAAGTGGTAGCTCTTCAGCTACTGCTGGGTTGACTGCTCTCTTCAGCTTTGGATCCTCATGGTGGTGTTGGGGGAAGGGTAGTGGGTGGATGGGAAGCACAGGCAAGAATTCACTGGGGAGAAAAAAGCTCCAGCTCGATTGTTCAGTAATAGGAATACACAGTCTCTAAATAGAATAAAATAGGAATAGGAATTCACAGCCTCTGAACAGAATATACTCATTTTGGTCATTTTGGCGATCTGTTTTCTATAAATCTCTACAAAGCTTTGTGAGGAACTTAACGCAAATTTATTCCAGCCTCTTTCTTCCTGACCAAAGATGGAAATGGAAAGCAGCAAACAGAAGTCTCAAAGTGTGGGATTCTAAGCCACAGGTCACCAATCTGATCACTGATCCCTGGAGGGCATGAGGACGGATACAGTTTAACTGCTGGAAGCATTCACAGCCAGTACTGTCAAGTGACACTACATGGATTTGTCTACTCTGCCTTTTAACAGACCTATCGTTACACTGCCATAGCCACCAGTGCCCATGAACTCACCTCCTCTCCTGGGCTGATCTCCTGTACAGCTCTGACTTCCGCTAGCGTCCCTTTGTAGGTCACAATGACATTGGGGCAACAGCTATGGTTCATCAGTGCAACACTATCAATCAAAAGAGAAAACACAGTTTTCTTAGTGAGGCATACTGTTTAATCTCCTTGGCTACTTACTTGCTAAGTTAGAGGAACTAGTTCTCTGCAAGACGTTAAAAAAACAATCAAATAGTTGGCCATCGTATTCTAAGAGATTGTTTTGCATGCATTTATAATCCTATCTAACATCTAAAACTTTAACCGTGTTGGAAAATGAAACCTACAAACAAAACAATAATATCTGAGCTCAAAACAAAAAACACACAACAATAAAAACAAATCACCAATGCCACAAATATCCCTTCCGGATAGAAGCAGCTCTGAGAACCCAGTACCCCAGCTAAATTGACTCCACTTTACACTGTCAAAGGCAAATGGGTTGGCGTTTTTTAAGCAGCTTTTTGTATTAGTGAATTATTTCTCACATGTTTTCTTCAGAGGTTGAGAAATGCCAGCTTCCTAGAGGAGGGAGGGCATGTGATCCCCTGAGAGATACGGAGACGACCGTCTGAGTTTCTCTGCACCTCAATTTCCTCATCTGGAAAATTGGGACATTATTGCTCCTGCTGCTCACTGTCTGCTTTTCAGGGACAGCAAGAAGGAGCGAGAGATTCGGCTATGCGAGGTGCTTTGAGCTTTCTGATTATATCAAGGTCAAAGTTCTGAGAACAGAAATTTCTAAACTACAGGGAAAAAGTGCTTGATCTCTGAAAATGCTGCCTTTGAAATCACAATGCCAATATGATTTCAGCCCAAAGGGATTTTTCCCCCAATTAAAACTGCCTGGAAACTGGGGCTCATGTTCCTATGAGCACTCACAGTCATGTGTATCACCTCTCTGGTGGCCGATGTCACCTGCCTGACCCTTCAGAGACCACAGCTCCTCCCTTGCTTGCCCCAAAAATACAAAAGAGGAAAGGCGTTCCGAAGCCTGATGAGGATAAGCTGCCCTGCTCTGCTGTGATCAAGGGGGAGCGGCCCTCTTCCACCTCCGGGCTGCTAGAAGCCTGAGCGAAGTGTGTGGTTGGCCTTGGGCCTGGGAAAACATGAGGCAGCTTCAGGGTCTTATCCTTGGAGAGGGCCACCTTGTCCTGCACCAAGGCCCACCTGGCTTCCTGGCAAGCGATGCACAGGGAATCAAGCCCTAGGAAACCTGATAAACAAATGCATCCAAAGGGAGGTTGTATTAAAAGAAAAGCATATTTCTAGAATCATCTTACAGAAGTATTAAATAATTCCCTTCAAGGCACAGACTCTTGGATATCTTTTTAATGGGGATGGGGCAAAGAAACTGTACCAACTCAAGTTCTTGGGAATTGTAATTCTCTTGGCAACTACTGAAAAGAGTGAAGCCTCAAACAATACCACTCTTACTCTTTCTTTTTGTCTTTTTATTTTTTATTTTGAGACAAAGAAAGAAAAGTTTATTTAAAAGTAAATTAGAGAGAGAAAGAGAAGGGAGAAAGAAGGTTCACCTCTCCAAGGTGGGGGAGGGGGCTAAAGCCAGAAAGCGTGGTGACAGTCCCAGCTCAAAGAGCACATGGCCACACCAAGTCTCGCAAGGCAATGGCCACTTTCTGTCTTTAAGAGAACAAAAACAGAGATTTCAGAGTTCATTTCATGAAGGTGTCGACATGTGCCTTCGTCAGAGGTCCAATGCCCCTTTCTCTTGTTCCCCTTCCTTTTCCCAGGGGCAAAAGTCTAAAAGAGCCTCTCCCCAAAATGCTTCTTTCCTCACTATCAGAATTCCAACTGCAGATGACACCATTACTGGCCATTTTGGCCTCAGTAAACTTTTTTGTCTCTCTAGTTCAAGTAAGCCCGTAGTGGCTGCTCATGAGACACAGACCAGTACAGACTCTTCTTTCTGACCCACACTGTGCATGGCGCCTGGTGACAGTGCCCACACACCAGGAGAGGGCACATCATTCAGGAAAGCACATGTGTGCTAAGGGCTTCCTACACATGTGCCACCCTAAAGCCAAGGGCTCCTGTGGTATATGTTAAGCAGCCTCCCTTGAGATAGCACTTAACTACAATGTGAATTAGTTCAGATGGAAATGTAGGATGGGTTCCTTGGCTCCATCTGTGAAGCAAAGGCTTGATGTCAGGGGACTGGAACATTGTGGAAATACCCATTCCACCAGAGATACAAAGACAAAGCCATTCTTGACAGATCACTAATGTCAGATCTACAAAGATCTGTTTGTCAACTGGTTAGCCTTTGTTGAATTACTCGCATATTCCTGATGTAGAAAGAAAAGTCCTATCGTTCTTTGAAAGTTTTCTCCAGTTCACTGCTTTAGCATATTCTTCCTCCAAATGGTTCATTTCTGCATTGGAGTTTTTCAGAAAGGACAGATGGAGAGGAAGCTTGTATAGTCTCCACTCAAGCCTATGGCCAATTCTTGGTTGGCAATTAATGCTTTACTTCGAACGTAAGAAATCCAAAGATTTCCAGAACCACAGATATGCAGAAAGCAAATCTCTCAGCAGGGCATGGGCTGCTCCTTCTATGCACACTACAAAATATTCTTTAATAACAGCTCTCTGCCTAGCAGGACTTAACAAGCAACTGTTCTCTTAACTACTACCTTCGCATCCTTAAGTGTAGGGGAAATATTTTGAAATCCGGCAGATTAAAAAGCTGTTTTAATTCACTTGGAGTTTCGTGTCTGCCACATACAGTTAGGTGGGTTTTTAAAAAATTTTTTAAAAATCAAGTTAATGTTAAATAAGTAAAATGAAAAGAAATTAAATCAAACTCAGCCTACTCAGGAAATATTGCAGATCCCAAATGAGAAAGTTCTTCATCTTCAATTGTGAAGCCATTACAGTTGACCTGCAGTGAGAATGAGGAAGAAAGAAAAAAATGAGCTAAAGCCTCTCTCTGGATAGAGATCAGTTCTTTCATTCTGCTTTTTAGCAAGTTAACTAGGAAGATGTTCTGGCTTAGTGGTTTTAAAACCTTTCTTTTGGCCCTGGTAGTGTTCAAACATTTACTTATCGGTCCCATGTGTAAACAAATAAGGGCAGAATTGTTAGGGTTGAAGTCTCCCACCCATGGCCCTAGAATGCCACAGAGCCCCAAGGCTCCATGGACTGAAGTTTGTATATATGCATGGGAATCAAGGTACCTTGAGTCTAATTCCAATTACACCACAGCTTTATTGTGTAACTTTGAGCTCATCACTGAATCCTTCTGTCTTTAAAGAAAGGAATCACCTGATCCAGCGCCTGTCTCATAAGGTGAGGTGGTAAATATGGAAGCCCTTACTCATCTAACTGCTGTCCTTCCATCCGAGAGGCAGAGGGATTGAGGGCCTGAAGCTAAGAGACTGAGACCCTGCCTTCCATGTCTTAGCCAAATCCACCACTGACCACTTTCTCATCCTTTAAAAAATACGTTGGAAACTACCAAGGGCAACTCTCACCATTCTGGAAGTCTAACTAAGAATAAGCAGGCTGAAACAAGGCCTACTCATGCCCAATTTCTATGTTGTTCTATAAATTCACACTTTCCACAGACATTTATTGATGTGCTGGGCACTGTGCACAGAAAGATGAACAGGTCAAAATTTTCAGCCTCAAAGAACATCCATTCTACTGGGAGACAATTCAGTGGGTGTTATTCACAGGTATCTAAAATTTCAGACTTGGGAGAAAACTCAATCTCTTTACTTTTTGATGATGAAACTGAGGTCAGAGAAGAGCATGACTTATTCACAGTCACACAGCTAGTTGGTGACAAAGGCTGAGACCCCTGCTTATCCCATACTGCCAGGAAGGTTTTGTCTGTGAGACAAAACACCAAATGATTTCACCCCATGCTTTTCCACACCCAAGGACACCACACTGCTACAATTCAGGTTAACAGATGGGCTTTATAAAACTAGCATCCTCTGAGCACTTACTGTGGGCCAGCACTGGGCTAGGTACTGCATATTTACCATTTCATAAATCTGCAATATCATTCTAGCATAATTACAGCAACCTATTTTACAGATGTAGAAACTGAGGCTTAGGAAGGCTCCATGTCTAAGTTACTTGTTCATGGACATATAAGTAGTGAGTGGCAGAACAGGAGTCAGAATTCAGACTAGACATTCTGACAACAAAGTCTGGTTTTGTCACAATATACCAAGTTTCTTCTAAAATTGGCCAGATCTACTAAATGTTCATGTAATTAATAGATCTGACCAATTTTAGAATATTAATTTATTGCTTTACAATTCAACACAGAAAGAGGGAAATGACAGGGTATGTGGGTTAGTAAACCAATACACACTCTTTGAAACTCAAGGTGGCTAGACGTTTCTAGTAGAAGACTTAGCATACTATTTTTTGTGTCAACTCCAAGTACCAATTCCATCATAGGAATGTTGACCAATGACCATCAACCTACATTAGGCAAGAGCAAATTAAGATGTGCTTTCATTCAACAAAATTTGAAGCACGAACTGTGTCTTGTACTTTTCTAGGTACTGAATGATCAATGCATTCTTTCAGATGGATACTACCATGTCTTAGCAGTATCTGGTACAACAAATGTTTGCAGAATGAGAGAATGCACAAGAACATTTGGCCATGATTTTCAAAACTAGTCTAGGCACAGCAGCTCCCAACTGCTCTGGGGGTGAGAGTCTTGCTTCTTTGCTTTTGTAGTGCCTCCTTTGCTGTAAGCCAAGCTGGACCAGTCCACGCCTCCTGATTCCTTCAGTCTCGAACATCCCCTGACCACCAGTCCCCTTCTTCTCTTCTCCTCCTCCTCTCACTGTGGAAGAGTGCATGTGTTGCTTCCTAAGCTAAGGCTCCCATGAGCACAGGAGTCATTACGTTCCTTGTGGGGAGGCGGGGATGGTGTTTAAGTCTACTTGCGTAGCAATTTTCCTGCCAGCTTTCCTTCCCTTTTGAAACATCCCCAGAGAAGAAAAGTGAACTTGCATGTTAAGAAAAATGCATGGGTCATGGTCCTTTATTTCAAGTCAAATCAGGCGTAAGTGCCTTGCTCAAGCTATTCTCATAATTAGCATTTAGAGTAGATGTAGGCTGCACACCAAAAATACACTTCCCAGCCGTGCATATGTTCCCAGTGATTAAAATGCACCTTGATGCTGTCAGAGAAGCGCAGCCACCTTCTGCTGCCAGCTGCTGCTGGGCTACGAGTTAACCCACAACAGCCTCCCATGGGCCAGACAGAGGGAAGGGCTGGGAGACTGGAACAACAGACACACCTCGGTGGTTGAGAGATGGGACTGGGGGTGATACGGGGGTGGCTGCCTGTAGCAGCACTTTCCACTTTTGCTTTAGAGTTTTCTTTGGGGATACTAAATTTTCCAAATGTATACATGTAAAAAAGCATGTATTGTATATATGTGTTTGTGGGTATACATACAATCTCAGAATAGATATAGATGTGATAAATACAAAGTCTGTTAAGGAGTTAATTATCTATGGTTCTGTGTGTGTGTGTGTGTGTGTATGTGTGTGCTAACGTATACAGATGTTTTAGATTTTCTGTGTCAGTCCAAATTTCAAAGACTGTCATTTTCACCACAAATAGACTTCTATAACCAAAGATCAAGTGCCTTGAGTTTTGGCTATGAACGTATGAACCACATCAACACTGAGAAACCCTGTTGCACGCATTCCTGTGTTAGAGAGGAAGTTATCTTTTTTTCACAGCTAGATATGAAGAGTAGATACAGTTTTTCAGAACATATAAGATAAGTCAGTTCCTCAGTACTCGACTGACAGGCAAATCTCCAGTCTTAAGACACTTAAGAGAGTATGGCATAAGCTCAAGATAGTATGAAGATCAGGAAAGTCTTTTTCATTCTTCTAATCTAGCATGTGTAGCTGAAACTCATTTTTTCCTTTATAAGGAATAGCATGTTCTTCCGATTACGACAGTCACATAACTGAAATATATCTAAGTAAACATAACATTATAAAGGAATTCAGCAAATTGTTAACAGTGGTTCTCTTAGGTGGGTGGAAGTGGGTAGAAGTGATAAAAGATTCATTTCTTCCTTTAAATGTATAATTTTTAAAGTGTAGTCTCTTTTTTTTTTTTCCATTGTTCTTAGTATTTTTTCACGTTACAGATGCTCATTGTAGAAAATCCTGAAAATCACCCAGGGAAAAAAGCAAAATTTTGCCACAACTCAGAAAACAACCATGAACTTCCATTTAATCTTTAAGTTATATATGTGCATGATCACATTATACACATTTTTATACTGCTTTTATAGTTAATGTTGTATCATCAACATTGTCCCAAATCTTTAGATATTCTTTGAAACATAACTTACAAAGTCTATGTAACCTTCTTTTTTTTTTTTGAGTTGGAGTTTCACTCTGTCGCCCAGACAGGAGTGCAGTGGCCACTCCCGGCCACCGCAGCCTCAACCTGCTGGCCTCCGGCGATCCTTCCGCCTCAGCCTTCCAAGTAGCCGGAATTACAGGCATGCACTACCACACCCGGCTGATTTTTTGATTTATTGTAGAGATGAGGTCTTGCTGCCCAGGCGGGTCTCGTAACCTTCTATCACATGGCTATGCTATAACTTATTTAACCAAACTCCTAGTGTCAGCCATGTATAATATTTCCTTTTTCCTTCTTTCTCTTTTTCCTCTTCCTCTTTCTCTCTCTCTTCCTCCCCTCCTTCCTCCTTTCTTTCTTCCTTCTTTCCCTCGTTTGGCTTTTACAACTTGTATATAAATCTCTGTCCACAATCCCTGATTATTGCAAGTTTCTGCAAATGGTGTTACTGGGAAAAGGGTGATGCTTATTCTATTTTAAGACAAAAACGTGTAAGTATCCACCTCAGTTCTTTTATGCCCCTAGAGACTGAAGGTTCTGAAAGCTTCTTGCAACCATGGATCAGAGTTCCAGTATTTCTCTCTCTGGGAAGGGCACTTTCAACTAGATGCCCAGTTTTAGAGGAAATTGCAAGGGTGTATGAGGGAGAGAGATTCAATGTAGCAAGTGAGGCCAGGAAAGAACCACTTTTGCAAAAACAGGAAGCCTCTGCGTTCCCGGAAGCATGGCTGCTGCACTCTCTCTTCTCTCATCCTGACAATGCCCAAGCCTCTGCTTTGCCAGTGGCCTAGTTTTCAATGCTTTAATCACTTTCCGGGCGCCCTTGCTTAGAAGACTCTCTGTTTATTATATAGTATTTTGGTAAACCTAGGCTTGTCTGAACATGATTTTTTAGTAACCACCAGGAAAGACTTTCTGCTCTTAGACTCCCATGGGCTCCTCTCGGTGGTGACTGTCCTTCTTCTGGCCATCAGAGAGGACTTTCCTTTTGGAACATCTGTGTATGCATTTGCTATATCAGCACATCCATGATAAGAGTGAAAAACACTACAGATTGAACTTCAGCTGAAAAGCAGGAAAGTGAAATTTAATGTAGAAACTCAAATGGTCTTTTTGCCAAGAGCTTAAAGTATGCTGGAGTACCAGGACACTGACAACTCCTTTGTTTTTATAAACTCTTTGTGAGGTAGAGGTAGAGGCAGAGGCAAATTTCCTATGCTCTACCCATCAGTGAGGTCCAGCAGAGAGGACCTTGACCTGCTCCAGGTCACCTAGCAAGGCTGTGGCCACAAAGAGTCAAACTTGTCCAGAGCCTTGTCGTCGGGAAGATGCTATCGTTCAATCTGCATTCATCCTTGCTAAGTGTGTGCTGGGGAGATGGTCATGGAAAGGGAAAGGCCAGACTGAGTGTTACCAGCTGCTGACATCCTTACCTGTGCAAAGAGTACTACCAGGCTATCATTGTCAGGGAATTCGAGGTGCTTGGAGTAAAAGTGATGGAGAGCACTAATGTCACTTTGAATCAAATCCTTCTTCTCATTGTCTAACTTCTCCAGATCTGTGGATAAACAATCCATTATTTTCCTGGTAGAAGATTCTGGATTTCTAGTCACATCTTTTTTTTTTCTTTTTTCCCTATAAATGGCATGGAAGAAAGGGGAAAAAAAATACTCCAACGTGTCAAGCCCCCACAGAACATTCTTCCCCATCACTTGGTCTAGCTGACCAACTCCAGAGAACGAAAGCATGTTGTTTCTTCCTTACTTTCCTCTGGTGATTAGAAGTCACTGAGGACAGGAGATTTCAACTGACCATTAGCAATGAGGTCAGGAATGGGTGGCAAGGACTCCTAACCAGCCCTGATCTAGTCAAGGGACCCCCAATAGGCCTGGAATCTGTGTCAGGGCCAAGCAACTGGGCAGCCCCTGATTTAATGCTTTTTGGGAAGGACATCAGCTGTTTACAGGACTGCAATTCAGCAAAGATCCAAAAATACTCAGCATGCCAAGAGAGCCAGCAGGAGCTAGCTCAGGATGCAATAACTCATCTTGTGAGCTCCTACCTCCTTCAATTGTTTCCTAATAATCCTGTCAACTCAGAAAAGATAAAAGCATTTTTCAAAACAGCACATGAGTCAAAATAAAAACAAACAACTAAAAAAATCACCCCCCCCCCCAAAGAAGAGCACAAGCTGCCCCTTCCCTTAGTTGATCCTCTCTAGTCCACATTAAATATGTGGCTGGAAGAACTACCCAGCCGGTCACAGAAAGACTTACGTGATTCAAACTCCTTCACAGCTAACAATTTTTCTGAAGATGTTCTCTCTGGGTGGATTTTCTAGTAATTGGAGAAGAAACCAGATGGATTTTAACAACCAGAGTAATTAGTAGTGCTTTCACTTTTACATCAACATGAAGAAAAAGCAACAATTCCCAAGGAAGGAAAGAAAGCTTCCCAATGAATCTACCACTTGGGCTCTCCAACAACCAAATCCAAAGGACTCTTTTAAAATGCTTTTTAAAATGTCTGCTGCGTTCCTAACACCCTAATGATACTATGCACACAGTAGGCTCAAAAATGCTTGTTATGGAAAAGAACAGGGCCAGAAAGCAACTTTTTAGGATCCTTACTTAAAAGAACTGAGTCTACAGACAAACCATCCTATTTATTATTTCTCCTTCTAAAAAGGAACAAAATCAAACCCCCCATCCATTTTACACTTTCTTTAAGCATAGGCTAAAATGATCTCAAATTCTGTGTTTCAAAAAGAACACTTTTGGTTGTATCTGTGAGCCCAGATTCACTTTAAACGTGTTGCTGGCTTTGTTCTAGACACCCCAAGAGGAGCTAACAATAGTAAACCCGCTAGGCTTTGAGAACATGAATAAACTTGGTGTTGACAAGAGTTCAAAGGCAGAGCTCAGGAGCTGGCCTGAGGCCGTGTCTTTGTAATCTGGCTATTCAATTTGGGGATACAGGTGGTCTAGCGGGGCGCTCTCACCTCCCTAGTTAACATGTTAAGCTTCCCCTTGGTAGTTTGGTAGCCTGTCTCCCCTAATCCTTTGCAAGCTACTAGAATACAAATGGTCTGTTTTTTTAATCATCAGGTCCTATCGAGATAAAAAGATGGGCAGGTAACTTTCATTTAAAACACTATTAGCAGTAGCAGTAATTATAATAAAAGTTGAATGAAACTAGTATAAACTTATCATAGCATTCTGACAACCCTCCTGGTGCCAAAATATTTCAAAAGTTCTTTTTTGGAGCAGAAATCTTCCATTCACAGGATGATGCATTTCTGTAGGATTAATAAGTCATCTCGCCTAGAAAAGCTTTTCCCTCAGGAAAGTACACCAGTTCTTCAGAATTCTTAACACAACTATCAGTAAGTCAGGGGGAAAATATAATACACCAGTAGATTTGTCACCCAATCCTTCCAAGATGCGTAGAGATGTAATCTGATGGTTTATTGACCCTGAAACCTCACCGGGTCACACCATTTCCTCCTACTCTTTCTTTCAGTCCAACTACCTTGCATAAATTCAAGGTAACTGATATTAAGGATCAAAAGTTAACCTCCTCCCGGGAAACCAACGATGATGTTTCAGTCTTGCTCTAGGAGCAACCCCTGAACGGCTTTGTTATTCTGGGCTGGCGAGGTGGCATTTCGGCAAGAGTCTGACCAAAGCTGAACACAGTGGAGAGATGCCCTCAGAGTCTGTAAATGTTCTGCTTCTGTAGATGCAGCCCCAGCTCCTAATGTGGAATGGGGCAGATATATGCTAATCACTGCCATCGCATTTGGCTTAGACTTAAAAACCAGAAACATTTAAGAGGGGAGGTGGTAGGGAGGGCAGAGAGGTATATGGAAAAGGTGGATGAAATTTCAGCTTTAACAGATTTATAGTCCAGAAGCCTTGCCACCAAATTCTCTATTAGCTTGGAGGAGAGAGTCCTCCATGGACTGGGCATATGCCTTCTAAACTCCATGCTACTTATTTCATGGGGTCACAGGAACAATTCCTATGTGATTTTCCTATTCTCCTTTTTGTTTGGATCTTCAGAGATCAGGTGTCTAATTATCATGCAATTGGTAAGGACTGACCAAGCCAGGGGGAGAATAGTCAGTGTGGCAGCTAATGCAATTCCATCTTAAAGCTAATCTGCCATGCTGACTTCTGATTAAACCAGTTCTGAAAATCCCTCTAATACTTTATCTACCATTAACTATAAATCCTGCCCTTAAGTCAAAACAATATTGATGTTATTGTATTTCAACTGTCCTACACACCCCTTTGGAGTCACCATTTCCCTATGGTTTACAAGCCCTGGGTCTGGGTGTGGGGGAGTTGATGGTGCAGGGATCTACCTTCTTGTCTTGCTGCCGCCCAAGACACAGACATGACTTATGTTCCTAAGTCCCTATTAAAGGTTTCCTTCTAAAAAACTGGATTTTCCAGCCTCTTTCTTCAGGTTCTCAGCTTCCTTTGGGGGTAAGTTTACACGGGCTTGCCGACTGCACAACAGTCAGTTTTGGTGTCATTTCTGGAAACTGCTATTGATGGCTATCATCTATTTCCATCAGGGGTACCGCTTTCCTTCTCCCCCATTTTTTACTCTCTTTCTTGTCTGCTTTTGCTTCTACTTTTCCACTCTTTCTCTTCTTTACACATGCTGTCATCACAGTTGCTTCATCCAATTCCTTGCCTGCTTATGCACTAACAAGAAAGAAAGGAAACGGGGAAGAGCAGAATATTGCAGAGGAAAGGGGCACAGGGTATACTATCTATAACAAAAAGGAGAGAGGAAGGTCTCAAAGCTGCTCAGACCAGACTGATTCCCTAAGAAGTTCTAATTATTGTGGGTCAGGCAAACCTGTCTCCAAAGTTCAGAATTCAATAGTCGTGGCTATGTTCCTTGTCTGGGGTAAGCAACACCCTAATCGCACAGGGCACACAGCAAACCAGATTATGCCTGAAGTATTTTCCCTACCCCATCCCTATGGACATGATAGGAAACGGAGCCTAAGGATGTTTAACAAGAGATGGTTTACCACAGGTCAGTTACTCATCTTTTATCAACCTTTGAGAGAAAAATAAAATAAAATGTACTTTAACATTATCCCATTTCCTTACCTGTTTGGCCAGAATCCTTGCTGTTAGTCTTACAGTCTCTGAGGGATTCCAGTTTTCCCCAAAAACAACCATGGCAGAACATTCCAGCTTGTGCATGGGCCAATCTTCTTTCTGGGAAAATTAAAAAAAAAATTATCAAAAACACCACACATACTGGAATAAAGTGTGAGAAAAGAGGATGCAATACATCCCCCTAGTTAAGGTCAAGTAAAACATGTTTCCTTTTGGAAAACACGGGGATGCTCACAAAAGCTAGAGATAAAAACATCTTTTAAGAGAGAGATGATTGTATAACCTTGACTTGGGCCTGGTCAAGGTTGTTGGGATGAGAAAATTTGCTTTGTGTTTTTTCATCAAGCATCTCATGGCTTTCTGCAGCCCCTCCTTGCTCCAAACAACTCATACACCTTTCCACTATCTGCACAGGTTGCCACATTGCAGGGTGAGGGACTCGGGTGTCAGCTGCAAAGATTTGGCTCTGCTCCCTCACCTTCTGTTCTGGCTCTGTTCTCATGTTAGGGCAAATACGAAGAATTGACTTTTATGCAACTAGTCGCCTTTTAAAGTTGATCTTTTTAAAAAGGCACAATGAGGGTTTTGTCAAGGGCAACTACTGGGAATATTGAGGAATACAGACTTCCCAAAGATTTATTTCTATCACACATCTTGAAGTTTTCATGCCCCAGGGAAAGGAGAGAAGGACAGGCACTCTACTGGAAGGATGGAGTCGCCCTCACTTGAGATGGAAGAGGTAGAGACAGGACAAGGGCACTATAGTGCTTGGAGGCCAAGGGTAGAAAGCACTTTGAGAACCTGGGAGAAAATGACACCAGTGCTGGAGACGGGCTTAGTGTGAGATGACTGAGAATTGATGTGGCGTCATGAGGGGCTTGCTGACTTTGATAGGAACCAGTTTTGGTGAAGTGACGGGGTGAGAGGCTGCTGGGAATGGATTGAAGAGAATGAAAGGAGACAGGGACGCTGAAGAAGTGGGGCAAAGGCGAGAGCAGGGTCCCTAACCCTTGGGCTGCAGACTGGTCTCGTGGCCTGTTAGGAACTGGGCCACAAAGCAGGAGGTGAGCAGCAGGCTCTGCTCGGCCTCCTGTCAGATCAATGAGATTAGATTCTCATAGGAATGCAAACCCTATTGAGAACTGACCATATGAGGGATCTAGGTTACGAGCTTCTTATATATCAACTCTTCATCCCTCTAAACCAGCAGTCCCCAACCTTTTTGGCATTAGGGATGAGTGTGTGTGTGTGTGTGTGTGTGTGTGTGTGTGTGTGTGTATGTGTGTGTGTGTGTATTTTTTTAAGATGGAAAATGTCAAAGCACATTTGCATCTGGACGGGAGCCCTCAGACACTGTTTCTCTCATAATGACAGGGCAATGAATGTCCTGCTCTGCCCTCAGCCTTCCCTCGCTTAGAAAAATGGCCAAGTCTATTTTTCAGATGCTCAGGCCAGAAACCTGGAGTCATCCTTGACACCACTCTCTCACTCACACTCCACAGTCAGCCAACTCTGGCACATCCTGTCTCTGCCCTCAGGATCTGTCTAGAATCTGATCACTTCTTACCTCTCCCACCTTTCTGCCCTCCGAGGGCCTGACATCTCTCACATGACTCCTGCCCCGCCCTCTCCTAATGACGCCTGCTTTTGCCCTCGCCTCCATGGACTACACTCCAGAGAGCAGCCAGACGGGCCCACAAAACTCGGATCATGCCTGCTTTCAGCTCAGAACCTTCCAATGGTGCCTCATCTCAGACAAAAGGCCAAGTCCTAAAGACGACCTTAGATGTGATGTGAGCTCACCTCCCACTATCTCTACCTAGCCCATCACCTCCCAGGTACTCTCCCCAGGTGTCACTGTATGTTGGCCACAGCAGGATCTTCACTGCTCCTAAGCAGCTCTTGCTCAAGGCCTTTGCATTTGCTCTGTGTCCTGACTTAGCACGCTCCTTCCTAGATACCCACACTGCTCCCTTACCCCTCCTCCTCAGTCTCTGCTGGAATGTCACCTTCTCAAGATGCCCACCACGATTGCCCTGAAAGCAGCAGCACTTTCCCATCACTCCTCCTTTCCTTGCTTTCTGTTTCGTCTTAGTATTTCTCACTACTACCTGATATAATACATATTTACTAGTTTTTTTTTGGTTTAGCATCTCCTCCCTCAATGAAAATAAAGAAGCTTAGTTCACCGCAGGGCCTGGCATTTACTAGACACTCAATATAGTTGTTGAAGGAATGAAGATGTCTCCCTACCCCGTCCCTTCCACCCCAACTCCTCAAGAAGGAAGCACATAATGTCACTAAGTGATTTAATACAGTACATGGCACCACCCCTTAGCTCAAGTTCTGTGCCAAGATGTTCTGCAGAGTTAAATAACGCCGTGCCGAATATAACTAAGCAGGTAGAGAAATGACCAGATAAGCACAAGGGAGAAGAGTATCTGTTTTTAGCCAAAGCCTAAAATGAGAGCATGGTGATGAGATGAAGAGGTAGAACAGGTGGGTCTGGCTCCCTGCAAACTCATCAGCTCTCTCCCCAGCTGCAAAGCAAAAAGGAAAAGACAGAGGGGGGCTTGGAATACCTAGGGGAACATGGGGACCACCAGCAGGGAACAGATGGACCACTAACAACTACAGACAAGTGCCTACTAACACCCCAGAAACTCCAAGCAAAGTTCATGATCTCTGTCCTTGAGGGGCCTTTAAGCTGCTGTTTTCTGAACTGTAGTTGGTGCAATGAACTCCTGGGAGAAAGAAATTCAGTAGGAACATTTGTTAATATAACTTGCTTATTATTTATTAATATAATCGATGCATTAATGTAATTGATTAAAAATTAACGTTACTATCAATGATACATAATACTGACATGTGTTGATGTGAATGTCCTGGAAAGGAAGGGAGACTTATTAGCCTGACTACTAGGAAAGCTCTGGGAAAAAGCAGAGTGCTGACAAGTAGGAGGGGCCCTGGCCCAGGACTCGGGAAACCTGCCTTTTTACACCCATGCTGCAGCGAAGCAGTGATGTGACCCTACACGGGTCTCTTAATCCCTTTGCGCCTGTCTCCTTGGCTGTAAATAACATGATCCCTAAGTTAACTCAGCAGGTCCAGAGTCTGTGATTTTACACCTTTCAACAGTGATAATCAGATATAAAGCTTGAAGACTACCAATAAATGTAGACTAGAGAGGGATAATCAGGTATTCATGCAGACACAAAGGATCCAATAAGCAAAGAGATGCACTCAGAACAGTGTCTGGCACATAGCGCACGCTTAAACATTGGTAATTGTTCATTCATTCATTCAACAAGCGCTGCAACTGATCCTAGAGACAGGGAGGAGAGGTGAAGTCTGACCCAAGCACTTTATGACTGCCAAAATACAAGATAAAAGTAAGAGCACCTAGAATTAGATACAGTCCCACACACAGCAGTTACATCAGATAGCTGGATAAATTTGAGAAAATGTAATCACCTAAGTTTCACCAAGGAAAATTTATCACAATAATAGTAAGTTTCATTTTCTTTTTTGAAGGTGGTGGGAGAGGTGAATTAAGAGAGAAATGGCAGAAATTTACCACAATGGCAATGCTCAGTTTTAATTCTTGAAAAGAAAAAAGAGGGGATGGCATCTAGTAGAAAAGTCAGGGAAGTTTTGAGCATATTTTGAGCAATGATTCTCTTCTATCATTGAGACGGTCCACATAATCTTAGAGAACCTGACAGAGGTAACTGCTCTAATTTTGCTCATAAGAAATTATAAACAACCAGACTGAACAAAATTGAAAAAAGAAAAAAAAAGGCTAACTTGATGAATAGACATGAATGTTATCAATTATGTTGTTTGGTTTTAGAATATTGGTTGTTTTGTTGTGTACACAGTGCTTTTGCAACCCTTTAAGATTTTTAAAACAGTATCTGTTTTTCTAAAAACATTTCCTACTATTTTTCTTCAAAATCAAGCTAGTATTCCTGCTCCAATTGCAATATTTATAAAAGTGTATGTAAGCTAGAACCCCAATTTAAAAAAAAATACTAAAATATATGCAGAAATAATTCAGAAAGACATATACCAAAGTCCATTCTCTCAAGGGAAAGATTATGAATACTTGTTCATTCTGTTCTTCTTTTAGTATGCACTTTCTATAATGAGCACTGACTTTCTTTCTTTCTTTTTTTTTTTTGAGTTGGAGACTCACTCTGTCGCCCAAACTGGAGTGCAGTGGCTGCTCCCGGCCACCACAGCCTCGACCTGCTGGGCTCCGGTGATCTTTCCGCCTCAGCCTTCCAAGTAGCCAGAATTACAGGTGCACTACCACGCCCAGCTGATTTTTTGATTTATTGTAGAGATGAGGTCTCGCTGCCCA